GCAACGGATCGCAACCCTCAGTGTCGCGCCCGTACCGGACCGGGACTGGCAACGGGATCGGGGTGCTGCGCCCGCATCTCGCTCAGCCAGTGAGTGGGAACCGGTCTGTATGTGGGATCCGAACCCTCGGCGGGAGCGCCGCCGCACTCCCAAGCGGCGCACTGTAGCAGTGCGCCACCAGGCCGGCCCATAAATTGGATTATTAAAATGCTTATTTCACAAGCTTTTTCTGTTGCCATTTATTTTCCCACAAAATTTAAGGTCTAAGCTGTGACCATGTTCAGTTATTTACTTGAGGAAAATTGAGAATGGATTTTGGTATAGAAAATATTGAGTTTTAAATCTGCACTCTGACTGGGAGTAAATTTTTTTTTTTTTTTAACAGATCAAGAAGTTGGTATATGTTTACCTGGTCCGATATGCTGAAGAACAGCAGGATCTGGCGCTCTTGTCCATAAGCACTTTTCAGCGAGCTCTGAAGGTAAATAATGGAGTGAGCAGGCAAATAGCTGTAAGGTTTCTGCACAGTTGAAGGTGTGTGGTTTAAAGAAGAGGAGCAGTAATCCACTAAATGGCATAGTAGTGTCTTGAAAGAGTTAAAAGGCTTCCCATAAAGCCTATTCAATACCCTTAGAAAATAATATATATAATCAACTGGGACCTTGCCATATATGTTGCAGCTTCTACATGTTTCTTTATGTTCAATATAGTCATTCAAAGAACTGCATGAAAGAACTGTTCATTATTCTATCAATTAGTTGTTGAGTGTGTAAAGAGGGGGCACAGACATTTTTAAAGATAAAATTTATAACCTGCAGCGTTTATTATTATGAAATGCTAAAATCGCAGCACATTTAATAATGGATTACCAGCTAGAATTATAACTATTGCTTTTCTTTAAAACATTGTTCAGGGAAATAGACATTTATTTACTTCTCTTTATGAAATGCTAAAATCGCAGCACATTTAATAATGGATTACCAGCTAGAATTATAACTATTACTTTTCTTTAAAACATTGTTCAGGGAAATAGACATTTATTTACTTCTCTTTTTCCTCACCCATTCCCATATATTGGTTGTTCAATTTAAATTAAATAGCTATTGCTGTTGTTATATTATACCCTATAAGCACCTGTTAACTGTCATAAAGATGTCTTTGCAATATTGTAAACTTGAAATTTTGATGAATATTTTTGCACTATTGTTAGGATCCAAACCAACTAATCCGTGCAAGTGCTTTGAGAGTTCTGTCAAGTATTAGAGTGCCAATTATTGTACCTATCATGATGCTTGCTATTAAGGAGGCTTCTGCTGACTTATCACCATATGTTAGGAAGAATGCAGCCCATGCAATACAAAAATTGTACAGGTAAGTGCTTTGTTAATAATACCAAAGATCTCTAATGTTACATGGAATATAATAGACTCCAGAGGCTTATTTTATTAGCTCTTATAACTATCCTGTCCTTATACTAAGTAAATCCAGTGACCTGTATTTTTTCCCCTTGGAACATTCTTTACACATCTTTAATTTTGTTTTGGTTAGAGATCCTAAGCAGGTTTTTATTTATAAGCCTATTGGGGCCTGTGATAATTTATAAATTTTATAGCTTAAAAAAAATTAGAATTTGAACTCTTATTTATATAGTCTACCTCATGTACAAATGTATATATTATTAGAAAATCGACTTTTTTTTCTGTTTATTGTAGGGTAGAATCTTAAGTGTATTATCCATTCAATTTACTTGTCTTTGTTTTCCCTTCATCCATCTTTGTTTCTGCTGCTTCCTTCCTTGTCTGATTCTACTCAAGAGCTATTTTATTAAATAAATTTTTTTAAATGTGATTTTTAAATATAGTGTCATATCATATTTATATGATATTTTAGCAAATATCATACAATGCATTGATCTCTGTGGAAAACATATTGTCTAAATAAAATTTTCTGGAAAAAATTGGTATCATTTTCTGTTATTTATTCCACAGTCATTTTTTTAACCATTTGTGTTTTTGGTGTTCTATTCACAGTATTGTGCTTATGAGTGTTGTATGAAAATAGTAGTGGATGTGGTACTTGTGACTAGTGTGTCACATACTTGAGGAAGAAAATCAAACATATGCCAAATAATTAAAGGCAGTCTATAATTGAATAAGATATTAGCACATGATATATATACATATACAAAGGTACACTAACAATGTCTTTGATAGGACAGGGGCCAGAGATTATCATGTTGTAAATGTTACTGGAAAGTGTAGATGTAATGAAATGGGATTAATTAGGAAAGACTGCTTGGGGAGGGGGACTTGAGCTGGAATATGAAAGAATTAAAAGGTTTGAATGTTCAGGAAATTGTAATGGTTAATAATAAACTTATATAATGTTAGTAAAAAGTAAGGCCTCATATTCTTGTTAACTGTGGGGCAAAGATTATCACGCTTCTCACTCATTATCTTTTCTCATTATATACTTGCAGGATAAGATCCAAGGTCACCATAATATTTAAAAGTCCTTCTGTCACTGGACTCCAGTTTATCTCTCCTTTCTCAACTTTTACCTCTCCCTGCCTTGAATTTATAGTCTAGTAGCTCAGTATTGCCTATTAGTCCTGTATATCAAATCTTTTAATCTTATTACTTCCTCTTATTTTTCTTGGTTGTAGATGGCAGGTTTTTTTTTTTTTTTTTGCCTTTTTGCCTTTTTGCCTTTTTTCGTCACCAGCAACGGATCGCAACCCTCAGTGTCGCGCCTGTACCGGACCGGGACCGGCAACGGGATCGCAACCCTCGGCGCCGCGCCCGCACCTCGCTCAACCAGTGAGCGGCCGGTCTGTATGTGGGATCCGAACCCTCGTCGGGAGCGCCACCGCACTCCCAAGCGGCGCACTGTAGCAGTGCGCCACCGGGCCGGCCCTAGATGGCAGGTTTTATAATGCGTGTCTCCATCAGTGAACTAGTGTGATACAAAATTCTTTTTTGGAAATTCTCTGTGTTTTTTTTTTTTGTTTGTTTTGTTTTTGTTTTTTTTCCGTGTCCGGCAACGGATCGCAACCCTCAGTGTTGCCCCCGTACCGGACCGGGGACCGGCAACGGGATTGCAAGCCTCGGTGTTGCTCCCGCGCCTCGCTCAGCCAGTGAGCGGGAGCCGGTCTGTATGTGGGATCCGAACCCTCGTCGGGAGCGCCACCGCACTCCCAAGCGGCGCACTGTAGCAGTGCGCCACCGGGCCGGCCCTAGATGGCAGGTTTTATAATGCGTGTCTCCATCAGTGAACTAGTGTGATACAAAATTCTTTTTTGGAAATTCTCTGTGTTTTTTTTTTTGTTTGTTTGTTTTTTTGTCTTTTCTCCGTGTCCGGCAACGGATCGCAACCCTCAGTGTTGCCCCCGTACCGGACCGGGGACCGGCAACGGGATTGCAAGCCTCGGTGTTGCTCCCGCGCCTCGCTCAGCCAGTGAGCGGGAGCCGGTCTGTATGTGGGATCCGAACCCTCGGATGGGAGCGCCGCCGCGCTTCCCAAGCGGCGCACTATCCAGTGCGCCACTGGGCCGGCCCCGTCTGTGTTTGTTTTTGGCAATTATGTATCAGTAGTCAAAAATTATTGCCATCTTGTTAATTTTCTTTTTTCCCCCCAGCTGAAAAAAGAATTCATGCTTTAACTACTTGCAATTACTTTCTTGTGTTTTCCAACATTTTAAAGTGAACTTGTTCTTTAAATACTTTCTCAATGGCATTGGTATCTGGTTTAGTTAATTTGAGCAACTTTAGAGGGAAAGATTAGGACACATTTACGAGAAAAACCATATGATTTTACTGTAAGTTTGTTTCTGTTTGTTTCTATCTTGAAATAATTCTTGCTCTCCCTCTCCTCTTGTAAAATTTCTCAGCATCTGTGAGCATTATTTAAAGCCAGAATTAAAGGGAAAAAAATAATGTAAGTTCTTTTCTTTTTATATTTTAGTCTTGATCCAGACCAGAAGGAAATGTTAATTGAAGTAATCGAAAAACTTCTGAAAGACAAAAGCACAGTAAGTAGTATCTTTTTTATGTCATAATTTGTAAAATTTACATAGAATGTAAAATTGTGCTTTATTTACATAGTATCATTTACCATTGTATGTTTGATATGATTATTTTTATTGATTTCAAAATGGTATAAATATTAATGGAACTCATGCCTATTTTGTTCTCTTTGAAGAATAAAAATTTCCATGTAATGAGGATTGCATTTGGAATTTTAGTTTTTTACTTGTTTCTTTATCATAGTCTGAAGAAGAGCACGTTGGGGGAAAAATGTTTTCTTTAACCTGTGACTAAATTGTTCACTGCTTTCAGAGTTGAAGTTTTTATTTCAAGCAATGATTCATTAGGATTTTAAAAGGCCGAATCACATGGAAACAAATAATTGTTATAATATGAAGTATTAAGAAGTATTAAAGAGATACAGAAAAATTAGAGGGGTGTGTTTTACTATTATAAATTTGTTTTTTAAAAAATACACATTTTCAAAAGTAGAAGGTTGTTTTATTGGCTGCTAAGAATTATCTTACTGGCTAAAAGCAATCGTCTTTTGGGAATGTACCTGTCATACTCCCCCCCCCCCCCCCCCCCTTT